AAAAAAAAAGGAATAAGAAGAAGACGCCTGATCAATATCTGTATGATCATATGTCAGTCGGAGTAGAAAGCGTTGAAATAGGTGCGATGTATATATGTATTTTTGTGTTTCCAGATTTTAATATTTATTTTCGTTTAAAGGTTGAAAAGAAGGAGGTCATAATAATCACGATATGATTTCTTGTTAAATTAAATTGTTTGTTTTTGGCATTAGATTTGAATATAATATCGTGTGCTGTATAACTACTATTGGAAACATTAGTAAACTCTTTGAATAAGGTGTGACTCGTCCACTCATTGAAATTGTTTGAAGACGATAGGTTTTCAAGTTTTCTTAAATTTGTCAGTTATGTTTAAAAAGCGGCCAAACGTAAATTATAAAACCACTCAAAGATTTCTTGGAAAACAATATTTTTATGATTCCCTTGAGATCTAGATTTTTTTTCTATTCAGAAAATCCCAGCAAACAAAGAAATAATACTCAATGGAATGACTTGTCGACGTAAAGAGGAAAATATTATTACACCGCTCAAGTGTGAGAATCTATTTCAATTTATGGCGGGAAGTTGTCACGTGACATTAATACATACATCCATATTGATCTTTTGTATTTAGGTCTAGTCCTTCTCGACTTGAAGGAATAATTGACCATATTCACAGGATAGGACTGAGTTTCTGCTGGTATATAAATACAGCATATAACTTTACGAAGGTAAAATCAAAACCATGCAAGGATCCAAGCTTCGATAATCAGACTATGCTCAGTATTGTGATTCAGCATGATTTTGATCAAGATGGTGTGACTCAGCTTTCAATCTGTATCGTTAAAAAGGTCTCGTAAATGATACTAATCTGCTGATCTCAAATCAAGATGAGTACAGTCTTAGAATTGGAACAGAGGAATAATTATTTGAATGGAAACGATGAGAATGGTCTTACTGACGATCCAGTACAAAAACAAACTACATTAACGGCCATCGGAAAGGTAAGTCAGTCATTCATTCATGACTAGCCTAAATAGAACGACACTATCTTCAATATAACCTCAGTAAAACTAACAATGTTTCTCTCAAATAATATTGACTTTATTGGTTYGTTGAAAAATAGCGTGTAAAATACTGTTATTTTAAAAACTGCTGTACATTCAGGAATTTTTTTATGCTTCAACAATTGCGAGTTTCTTCGATAGATTTAATAAGCTAAATACAATTATAAGTTATTCCTTAAAATAAATAAATTGGAAAATTGTTCATTTTGTAAATCGTCGTAGAATCTTTGTTTTATAGTCATCAATTTTTACCTCATGAGTTTATTTGTTTATTAATATTTTTAAAGAAAACAAGTGGTTTGAATTTACTTTTTTCCAGAAGAGCTATCAAGCAGCGATTCGCGACATACGCTAATCGAAAAAAGCATTATGCAAAGTAGATTGATTGATGGATTATAAGTCATTATGGTAACCTAGGCAACAGTCACAGATTCCCAGTTATTGATTCAAATGGTTTTAATTTCACGGCAGCCATGTTATAATGATAAATAATAATAATAATAAT